CCTTTCTCCTTCCCACTGTGGCCAGCTATGTAGGGAGGGGGGAAGACTCTGAAGCAAGTGGCCACTGGACCGAAGAATGTCCAGGCCCCCCCACACTCTGGCCTTTCCTATGGATTCTTTAAGGCCCAACTGTCCACAATCAAAGAAAAAGGGGGACACAAGCTTTGATTAAAGGATTGGTAGTGTATAAGCTAGGAGCCTCGGTGGCTCAGAGGTTAAGACACTGAGCTGCAGACCAAAAGGTCGGTAGTTCGGCAGTTCGAGACCCGAGTGCCGCGTGACGGAGTGAGCTCCTGTTTCTGGCCCCAGCTCCTGCCAACCGAGCAGTTCGAAAGCAAGAAATTGCAAGTAGATAAATAGGTACCATTTCAGTAGGAAGGTAACAGTGTTCGGTGCGCCTCAGCGTTTAGTCACGCCGGCCACATGACCACAGAAATGTCTTTGGACACTGCTGGCACCGCAACCCTAGAGTCAGATTCGACTCGCTTTTGAGCAAGGGAAGCCTTTACCTTTAGCTATGTTCTCCCTAAATATATCTTATTTGGGAACATGCTAGACCAAGATTGTAATTATTTATGAGGTAAGTAAAAATCACTTTTCCATAGATATTTGATTGGACAGAAAAGATACAGATGGAAATGAACAGCAAAGGTTTATTTAATAGGAAACAAAGCATTTAGCAGGGTAAGGATCGTGCGTGGAAATATTTCAATATAATAAAGTGGACTGCTTTTTCCACTTCACTCCCGCAGAGTACAAGCTTTCCCAACGTGGGTGACCATTTTGTAACTGCTCCTCAGTTAAGCCCTCAGGGGAGGTTTGATTCCGCTTTCTCCAGACAGGTTGCTGCAGCAGGTTCGAGGCTGCTCTTTTACCACCCAAGAGCTCCCGTCCGCAGCAGCTGTACACATAAGTTAGGAATGTCGGGGCCTTAATAGGAAACTGCTCCGGTTCTAACTGGATTATATTTGATCTGGATAATCGCAATCACACTTACCTCCCTTATCCCACCTCACCGCGCAGTCACGTCGCTCCCCTGCGTCTACACTACTGACGCGTGGGAACGTGTGTCGGCAGGGTTTTTAAAATTTTCCCTCAGTTTGCGCATGCGCATAGACGCCCCTCCGTAGAAGGGGGGGAACTATCATGGCGCATGCGCAGAACCACCAGGGCGAATCAATCCAACCCCTCCAACAAAAGACTTCCCTTTAAATGTTTGACCCAAAAATGGCCTCTGTGAGATCCCAAAGTCATCTAAATGCTAAAACAAGTGACCGTTTAAATGTGGGTTTTCTAAACGCGGTGGCGGAGCTCCGCCTATGTGCACACCGCCAATGCATTAAAAGATGTTGGGTGTGTGAACGTGGATATAAAATCCGTTACTGAAGCGTGCTGAAAGCGGTCTGAACGCACCCTCAAACAAGCTTTCTTCCCTTGGCTGACCCCAAAACCTAACAAAAAGCCAAATAAAAGACTGGTTAATCTAATGCTCTTATCTAGAGCCATGAAATCTCTGTCTGGGGGGGATGGAATTCTTCACCCATCTTAAGCTGAAGCCCCTCCCATCCAGTGGCGTTCTGTGGGCTCTGATTGGCTGACAGTAACTTGGATTTGCATGAGGCCCAAATCACACGGATTGGTTCAGAGCCCTGGAGGAGAGGCGGGACTTTGGAGGATGATTGCCACAGTTACCCACCAACCTACCTTTTATCTTCCCCCTGCACCTTTGGTTTTACAGATATTTATTTAATTCATTTATACCCCCCTTTCCGCCACAACGGTGACCCAAAGCGGCTTGCATCGTTCTCCTCCTCCATTTTATCCTCCCAACAACCCTGTGAGGTAAGTTAGGCCGCGTGTGACTAGCCCAGGGTCACCCAGCAAGATTCCATGGCAGAGTGGCGATTCAGATTTGAGTCTCACAGATCTTAGTGCGACACTCTTAACCACTACACCACGCTGGCTTTTAGCTTTCCCTCCTTTCCTCCCCCTGGCAGCCTCTCCCTAGGAAAAGTCTGGCCAAGTTGCATAAGTCTTGTGATAGCAAGTTACACAAACAGAATTAACATGCTACAAGCCAGGAACGGTGTTTTTAATTAATGGAAGCAGCATTCCTGAATCCGGGAGAAATGGCTTGCTGGGTGGAAGAACCAGAAATTACCATTTGCTCTGCAGTGGCTCAGTGGTTAAGATGCTGAACTGCAGGCTGGAAGGTCGGTAGTTCAGTGGTTCGAGACCCGAGTGCCGCATGATGGAGTGAGCTCCTGTCTCTGGCTCCAGCTCCTGCCAACCTAGCAGTTCAAAAGCAAGAAATTGCAAGTAGATAAATAGGTACCGGTTCGGTGGGAAGGTAACAGCATTCCGTGCACCTCGGCATCTAGTCATACCGGCCACATGACCACGGAGAAGTCTTCGGACAGCGCTGGCTCTTCGTCTTGGAAACGGAGAGGAGCACCTCAACCCTAGAGTCGATTTCGACTGGCTTTCGAACAAGGGAAAGCTTTACCTTTATCTTTTGCAGAAAGAGCTTGCTTCAAGTTGGAAAATGTGGCTTCGTTTGTAGACATCCTAAACGCATGTCCTGCCCAGCTCCTCACTCCAGACAAAATGCTCCCTTTTTTAATGCACCAGCGAAGTATACCATTGGACAGACATTTTTGAAATTGCTACTAGCGATGTTCTTATTTAGCCTTGGAAAATAAAGGACATTTGAGAACTCATTTCTTTATGTGTTTCATTGGTCTTGAACTCTCTCCTGTCCAAAAGTGTCCTTTATGCAGTGTTATATTACCATAACTATATATTGTGTTGTTAACCTCACATCTACAACTGCAAGGCAGGATGAGACAAAACTCTCCAATTTAGCCGAAATCTTTCCCCCTTCTTGTTTAATGGTGATCACACTGAAGAAAGTTTTGTTAAGAGGTTGTACAGGCTCCCTACAACCCCGCCCCCCCGTCAGCACCCAGACTTCGATTGTAATGGAGCATTGCAATGGGTAAAGTTTGTGACTAAAAAAATATATCAGTCCCTTCTCAACAAGCACTGAACAAAATTATTAGGCTTCCAAGGAGTTCATAAAGAGTTTCTAAGGAGTCCAGAAAGATTTCAGTTTCATTGTAGAAGCAACATATTTGCATTTCATGAGTCTTTCTCACGCTGATGTTACTGGGTAGGGAACGCCTTGTTTTGTGCAGAAAGGTATGTTTGCCACCGTGATCATCTTAAACCTTGAGTAATAGGAGAAGGTCAGTGAACTGTCTTGTTTCGAGCAAATCTGGATTCTTGATCATGTTTTATTCATTGATTGATTTAAAAGATTTTTACAGCTCCAGAAGTTCAGGGGTCAGTGCCTTCATCATCCATAGATATAATTCTCAACATGGCCAAATCTGTGGATACTTAAATCCAGAGACTGAAGCCATAAACAGACAAGGTAGACCTATCTACAAACTAGAGAGACGCCTTAGGTTTGCAGAAAAAACAGAAAGCTAAAATAAATAAATAACCTGGAGGGTTAACCCCTCCAAAAAATAATAGAAATAGCACCTGTAGCTTTAAAAAACAAATATCCTCTGTGGCCATTGCTAGGCAACCACAACAGTATTGCCAGTTAAAGCCTTGGCTTCTTTCAGTAGAAGACAGGGGCAGGATTCTCTTCAGGGCTGTTTTGGTCTTTGAGGGAGAACTTACCGGGGCCGGGCTCAGCAGCAATTACCAGGCTACTTGCTATCACTTGACTTGCATGACTTACACAACAGTATTGCCAGTTAAAGCCTCGGCTTCTTTCAGTAGAAGACAGGGGCAGGATTCTCTTCAGGGCTGTTTTGGTCTTTGAGGGAGAACTTACCGGGGCCGGGCTCAGCAGCACTTACCAGGCTACTTGCTATCATTTGACTTGCATGACTTACCCAGGTTCAGCTGCTTGCTAGTATTCAACTGCAGACACTGTATGATCACCAGTGCGGTGTAGTAGTGTCCAACAAAAATCTGGGGGATCCAGGTTTCTATCTGGACTCTGCTATGGAAGATGACTAGGTAACCTTGGGGCCAGTCGCACACACTCAGCCTCACCTAACCTCACAGGGTCATTGTGAAAATAAAATGGGAGGGCAGGAGAACGATGTAAGCCACTTTGGGACCCCATTGGGGAGAAAGGCAGGGTATAAATGAAATAAGTAGTAAATGTAGCTGAAGATGGGCAAAAGGTTGGTTGGATGGTGAGTAAGAAGAAGAGGAAGCAGGGACTGGTGAGGATATGGGGGCTGTCAGGAGGAGGGAATGAAGAAATATTCTGGGGAATGGGATACAGATGAACCTGAAGTGCCCCTCACAGTTCCTTGGGGGTTCCCCACTGGGCAACCGGGCCTGGCCCAGTGGCTAGCAGTGAGCAAGTGGGCCAGAGTTTTCTCAAGGAGAGGCTACCAGAGACTAGGAAAGAGGAAAAACTGAAGATGGCTGAGGGGAGTGATAAAGGTAGGTTGGTTGATTGGTTAGTAGGTGAGAAAGAGAGAGAAAGGCAGGGAAAAGGCAAGTCGCTGTGGGGGTTTTCAGGAAAGGGAACGAGGAAACACTGGGGGAGGGGGCCAATGAAATGCCTACTGCAAGGCCTTGTGGGTCCCCCCCCGACCGTTCTGTTCTAATTGGTGAAATAGGAATTAAATTAGGCCTCAGCTGGTTTGGTGCCTAATATACTGTCTCCTTCTTTCGTCTTAGGCTGGCCTACAGTACCAAGAGAAAAATTTAGAGGAATTTGAGAGAAAAGTGGATGAAATACAAGATCTCCTCAGTGGTAGTGAGCCACTGCTAGAATTACAGGTGGGAGAAAGAGTGTTTTAAAGTTATGTGTGTTGTCACTCTTGTCAGATTTGGAGATGTATGCTTAAGGTAGAACTAGGTATTGAAGATGAAACAAGGTCTCCGTCAAAAATGGAAGCGCCTCTTCTAACTTTCCCCTGATCCCCTATCTAATGAAACTCATTATGTGATAGAATAAATCCATGCTGAGACCTTTCTGCTCTTGTTTCATTTCACTGGATGTTTCTGGCCCAGGTAGTTCACAGTGTGATGATGACCTCATGTCAGGTAGCAGGATTCATTGGTCATTATGGAGGATCAAGGAACAAGTATAGATAAGAACATAAGAGGGGCCCTGCTGGATCAGACCAGTGATCCATCTAGTTTCCTTGTCTCACACAGTTTCCTAGTTCATCTGAATGGCCAACAACAGGGCATAGAGGCTGAGGCCTTCATTAGAACATCAGAAGAGCCCTGCTGGATCAGACCAGTGG